ATTGAGTTAGAACCAACACATAATGCAATCTTATTTTCAGCTATTAACTCCGTGCTACTTGGATCCTTAGAGCTGTTATTAGAAAGGGACACAGCCTTCTTCTGTGCAGTTAATGACATTGGTGCGTATGCGTTTTTATAAAAATTTGCATCCAGATTAACAAAATTTAATTTAGATTCTAACTGCATCATTTCAGCTATTAATTTCATGTCATGTGGATCTTTAAAACCGTCATCATGATGGGGCACAGCCTTCTTTTGAGCAATTGATGACATTTGTGCGTATATATTTTTATAAAATTTTGCATCCGGATTAATAAAATTTGATACAGATCCTAACCGCATCATTTCCGCCTGCCTTTCAAAAGCCATACGGACGTCTTTAGTTTCCAGGTTATATTTTTTGCTTGCAACGTGAGGGCTTAGCCTGTTTGTATTTTTATAAAGTATGAAACCATTCGGTGTTCTTTTATTGCTTGGTGCCTTTTTTGATGTATATTTTTTTGAAGTCATTCTGGTTTGAAACGATTTTTTAAAGGATTTGAGCACAGGTGATTTCATGTAGTTTTTAAATTTTTTACATTTAACAGTGGTATTAAATAATTTCTATATTTAAATAATTCAACATGCAAATGTATTGATTGTTTGGTGGTTTTTTTTTGGTGACTACTTTAGACAAAAGAATTAGTCCTTAAAATGTATGCCGTAATTAGTACAAACTAGGCAAATGGAAGCAATTTAAAGTCCGAAGGAATTTAATTACCTAATTAAGAAATCAACACGGATCAATCTGGTCAAAACCCGTAATTTGTGGACACACACAAAAATTTTGTCCTATGTTTCTATCCGTGGTGTGCTTTGGACAATTAAGAAGTTAATAAGACTAGATTTAGACACAAATATTACACGAATATTTAATGTTTGCTCATTTATAAAGCATCAATTTTTTTTAATAAAGATAAAAAATTTCGCAGTTATTCTGTACATGGTCTCCCATAGTTAGTTCTAATGTTATATCACACATAGGAATGGGCCACTGCGCAGCCTGCAGCTTAATTTTTATAATTCAAGCCAGCTGTATAATTCTAGTCAGCTTGCATAATACTAGCTTGAATGATCTTCAATGTAGTTGCTGCTTAAATCTTCTTCTCAATCTCAAAGATGGGTCAACGAACAACTTATCCAAGAATTCATGTCCGCATAGTGATACAGGACTACGACCTAGTATGTAATACTCGGATGGATAAATGAATGAGAAGATATTAAAAACTTTTTATTTTATTGTATATTATATATATAATAATAAACGACAATTTAACAAAATTCAATAAAGACCAAAGAACTCTTTCTTGATAAATTTTTATGGAAAACAGCAATTCATAAAATTTAATATTATTAAATTTAATTCTAAATTGTAAAATTTAATCATTATGATTCCAGCCTATAAAACGTCGCCATTTTTATAGATTAAAAACAAGGTGCTTTTTTTAATTACTCAATAATATTTTTTTTTATATTTACATCAGATCTTAAATAAATTACTATCAATATTATCAATACGGACCTTTTTACTTGGTTTAAAGTCTCGATTATTAAAATTTTCAAACTTCGAAAAAAATTATAAAGTTCACTATAATAATTATCGTAATTACTGATGAAATTAATTTTAATAATTTCACTAATTCAACACTAATTCACCAGTAGTGGTGAAATTATTTAACCACATACAATTAGGTTAGATATTTGATAAGGAATTAAATAATTGATCAGCTATAGCCGGTTATTTAGCTGCGGCTAGCCGACCCAAAACTGAACAATTTCTAGTTTTTATGATAAAAACTAGCAAATGTTACATGTTGCGGGTGACTTTGTCACCCGCTTGCAATTTTTAGTTCGAATTGTCAATTGACTTTTTAATGTATCTAGTATATGATCAGATGGCCGCTTCACTAGGTGTACTATGTAACTATAACTTTTTTTAGGTACGTAGCGATCGATAAGTAACAATTTTATAATAATTACTATAAAATTTTAAATAGACATACGGTCCTAACGGTTCGTTTGTTTTGGGTAGAATTTCACAAGGCCAGTATTACATTTTTACAAAGCTAGTCATTTTTTTAAAAGAAACTAAATTAAGCCCTTTTTTTTTGTCCTTTCTTTAAGAAAAAATAACATAGCATATTAAAATTTTTTTTTTAAATAAAGAAATTAAAGAAATGGCTCTATAGCTTTAGTTGTAGAGACATAATACTAGACTTTGCGAAATTTTATCTAAAACTATCGACCCATTAAAGCTGTGCATATATTTAAAATTTTGATAATTATTATAAAAATAGTTACCTATCGATCGCTCTCTAAAAAACACATTTTATAGTTTTGATTTACATAGTACACTGCGCATCACACCGCTTCGTCATTAATTAATAATTAGATATAGCAGCACACGATGTTAACATGGCACTAATTATTTGATATTACATGATTAGTTGAAATAAAAATATCTTTCAAAGCAGTATTCCTATTTATTTAGTTTTTTTCCTAGTTCTTGACCTTGCTTCAGTTTATGTTTTGGCTTCGCTTCGCTCGGCAAAATTTGAATCTTTTTTACCATATTTCAAAATAGTTTATATAAAAAATATCATGTTGCAAACTTAAAGTTTTAATCAAGATTACACAATAATATGTACGCAATTTAAACACAAGTACTAGAACCCATACATACAGACAGCTTTGTCATCCAGAGTTAGCTAACTAATAATTAGAAAATTAAGCGAAGCATTATAAAATTTTATCTCTTAAATGAAATAGAACACAAACACATAAGGCTAATTTTGAAAATAACCAACACAAATAACTTTCTGCTTCATTTTAAGCTCAGGTTACATTTGTTTTACATTTCACTGTCGTCATTTAAATCAAAAATTTCATCCAATAGGAAAACATTTATTGTATTACACTGACATTGTTGCGTCGGTTAAGTGGCTGTGTTCGCAACGGCAAATAATAAAATTTTTAAAAAAACTGATTATCAAATTACTAGTTTGACGATCAGTGATTATCTATTCATACCGGCAGAAAATCCGAAGAAAAAAACCAAGTGTGAAAAAAGCTCAAAAAGTAAAAACAAACCTAAATCCGGAAGACATATAAGTGCAAAAAGGATGCTTTTTTTACTATAATTTAAACATTTTAAGGCCACGCAAAGTTAATTTTTCGTTTTGCATAACCTGGTGTTCAAAATTCCGGTCGGCGGGTCGGATTTTTTTTTTTTTTAAATTGAAAAAAAAATTTTCATTGAGCAATTTTAAGTGATTCTGGGTGACGTGTAGGGTTTCGCTAAGTTATTTCTGCG